GGACACGCGTTCTCGACGCGTTCTCGCCACATTCGCCCCACAGCACACACGGACGCACGTTCTCGCCGCGCTGCCCAAGGGCGCACGCGGGTCCCGCGTGACGCCTGGCTCGCCAGCCAGAACCAACACCACTGCTAAGGAGTGCCAGAGGAAGGAAAAAATCCAGGTTTGTTTGAAAATGCCATCACAACCATCCACCAAGAAAACAGCGTAAAGGTTTAACGTTCCAAACCTGGTCTTTTCCAAGCAGTTTGCTATGCTGCTTTTAAATATAGCTTTTACTCGATGTAAAAGCTCGGTGTTTTTTGTTTCAATGGGATACCATTAAAATTGCAATTTGCCCTCTCCCCAGCAGTTCAGCGATGAGGATACCAGAGCTACCGCAAATCAGCTTACACTATAGAAACGGAATCAGCCTCTGAATACAAAAATATTTCCTCAGAAAAGGAATGAGTTTTGCATTAAAAGGCAATGCTCACCCCAGTGCGATCCTGCAGCCCAGGTGTATTACGCCTCGCACTGCTTGCATAGCTCTTTCCTAAAATTTTCCATTCCACCTATTTTTATGTTTCATCTCTTGACCTGGTTTATAACATTTAAGAAAATTATATTGCCACAGTGTGCTCGATGTACAACCCCTGTCTGATTTAATCATCTCCCACAAAACGAACCCAGGAAGACTATTATGAAAGACAGCAGGTTCCAGTCACCTGTAGCTTCCAAACTAATCAGGAACAGTAAACATAACCTACTTAGAGGAGGCAGGGAAACGAGCACTACTCAAAGTGATTGCATTTCGCTTCTTTCCATACTTTTATTTTAATTAAAAAGGTAATACTTCTGGAAAGTCTCGTCAATCTTTCCAGAACATTTAAGTGTTATGTTACTCATTTAAAAACAGAACTGTAGCATTCATTTATACGAATTGCTTGCTAGCACTAATGCCTTTTTTCAAACCTCCCTAAAATGAGCTGGTAAAGCTGACATAGCTCCGAGCAGCACAGGAAAGAGGACCTGTGCAGCTACCCCGTGCTATCCCGTGGTGTTTGCTGCCTTTCTGCAGCTGCTGCTGCACTGCCCTGGGAGCCGCGGGAGCCGCAGCCCCCGGCAGCCTTTGTTTGCTCTCAGCACAAACAAAGAACCGAGGCTCCAAATCTAGTCCCTGGAGACCAGCCGGAAACAAAAGATCTGCCCTCCTTGTTTCACTGCAGGGCTACAACGCTCATGGCTTTTCAGGAGCCAAACCAAAAGGGTTTGGGCTGCACAGAGCGAGGTGCCCTGGGGGGTGGCAGCCGCGGCACCCGGCTCCTGAACGCAGCCCCCAAGGATCCACAGCCCTGGGAGGCGCTGGGAACGCCGCTCCGCAGGGAGCTCTCCCGGGATCCCTCACCGAGGCGCCCCGGGGCACGCGCACAGATCGGGGCACGCGGAACAGGCCCCATGAATGCAAGGAAGGGGGGACAGCGAGGGGCCAGCCTCCAAACCAGCTGCTTCATGGCAGGGAGGAGCACTGGGAAAACACGCTAGGAGCTACCACCAGCGCTACAGTTTGGTTACTCTCCTTGTATAATCTCAGAATCGGGATAGAAGAGCCGCACGTACAAGGGAGAAAAGTGCTATTTTATGTAAGCTTTGGCCTGACACTTACTTATCTTTCCAACAAGATACAGAGCAACGGCGATACAGAAGGGTGCAGTGCTGTTGCTTTTAAAACTTACTCCTTATTTCTTCCAAACTAACAGTGGTCAACTTAGCAGTGATCCTGCTCCTTTGCCAGTTTTACCACATTAACTCATTTGGACCTTCACAGTCTCCCCATGCTCCAAGAATTCTTCCCTGGAAACTGAGGCTGATGACCGGAAAGCCACATTTCATCCTCTTTCAACATTTAGTTTTTCTCTTCTTATAACATTTTTCACTTAGAAAGACAGCCCACATTTTTTACTTTTGAATTCATTTGGCTAGGAGTGTTTTCACTTCCCGTTACAAACAGGGATAAAGCAAAAATCAGCGTTTTCAACTGTAATTAGTAACAGGCAGCTATTCTATTAGCCAAGCTGACAGCATGCCTAGACACAGACCATAACGCGTCTTCGGTACTATATCAAGGTTAGCTCTTTTTGTTTAATTTAAGCGGCCCCCAACACAAAACCAAATCACAAGAGCAGTCACTTCTGACCGATCGATCGAGTACGATCTTAAGGTTTTAAGGATTTAGTGGCACTTCTCACCTGCTGAGAAACTAGGCTGTGATTAAAGCCAAACTTTCTGCTTTCCTCATCCCAGCACCGACGCTTAGCAATCCTGCAAAAAGAAACGGTTCTGCCTGAACACAGTTTTATTCCGGCAGTACCTGGAGGGAACGGGAGCTTCCCGAGGAGCGGTGCCGGCGGGAAGCGGCATTCCCTTGTGCAGCGGTGGTAACAGCACCAGAAGTTACACACGCTCTGTCCACAGCAACGAGCGCAGTGCAAACTCCGTAAATTCAGTTAGGTCCGATTAAGTTAAGCCCAGTTAAGTCTGTGATTTGGACCTGTCGTGACTTACTTCAAGACATCTACCCGGAGCAACGTAGCTGCCCCGCAACAAAGTTCAACAGTATCTTTAAGAAGCTGTGAATGATGCTTTAAAACGATGTAAACAACAACAACAGCCCCCCAAATGCAGCCCATTTCTGCACATTTCAGTGAATTTTGTGATTTTATACACCAGGGAGCTGGCCATGAAATCAACACGTAAGGAAGCACCATCTCCAAGCAGCTGCCAAGGGCTTGCCTTCCCTGTGGACGTTCAGGTCCATCAGTCTGCGGTGCTGACACTGCCCTCAGACAAGGGGTCGATGTCCTCCATGCAGAACCACCTGGATCAATTACCTCAGCAAAGGAAGTAGAAGAAAAGCTTCACTTTTCTTCAAACAAAACAAAAGTATTACTAATAACAACAATAATACTAGTAATAATAATAATAAAAAGCTAAATTCAGTCAGTAAGAAGGGTGCTTTCCTGCTGGCCTGCGTGTTCAGCTCTCAGAGGAGCAATGTTCTCCGCTGGCCTCTCGGCCGGGAGCAGGAACACACACTTCATGGAACAGCGGCACTTCAGCCGGGACTGGGTCCCCTCCTTCCTAAAGCGGGTAACGCTCCACTGTCCCCCCATGAGCTGCACCTGGTACCAGGTAACAGAGACCGAGGCAAAGATGATGGGCGGAAAAAGGAGGGGGGATATTGAGCATCCCAGCACAGAAAGCCAAGCGTTGGACCCCTACACTCTGGTCTCCAAATCAGTTT